TTGAGGACTCGCATGAGGAGAGGCTTTGGCACTTCAGTAGGGTCAAGGCATTCCTCGTTGATATCCTTCCAAGCACTTGTCACTTGTCTATTAAATTCATCATTGGCTTCTTGCTTTGTGACACTATGTTGCTTCATGTAGCACTCAAGGGCCGAAGCAACATGCCCTCTCTTCTGCTCAAACTAATCCAAATGAAGACATATATAATATCAAATATGTAGTATAGAATACACTCTAGAGCCGAAGCAACATGCCCTCTCTTCTGCTCAAACTAATCCAAATGAAGACATATATAATATCAAATATGTAGTAGAGAATATAAATTAATGTTTGAGGAAATCGATTCATTTACTTGATTACCTCATTGGAAACTATATCATCCATGAGTCTGCAAATAATTGTTGAAGCCTTCACAATTTTAGGGTAATTAATTAACCATTGGAAGGCCTTTTCTGTAGCAATACTACCCATCCCAAGGAAGGTTGTTGCTATGAGCATACGGTAAGCTGAAGTCACTAGTGCAACATCCATGTATTCTTCCATTGTTGGTATATAATTGCTATTAAACCATATTGCCTCAGCCAAGTAGGCCTCGACCAATCTTTTCATCTAGTATGGTCACCACAATAATTTACAAGATTAAATGAAGCTAAAGACATTTGGAGACAAACACTTGTACTATAACATTACAAGAAAACTGTCTAATAACAACTAAAAAAATCAATCACTAAAACAAAGAAATCAAACTCTAAACACAATGAGGACTAAGTGTGGGATTGATTTTGTTGAATTGCTAATCGCTTAGTCGCTGATTATTAGCAATCAATTAGTGATTGAAATATTTAAGGACTAAATTTTGTGACTGATTTTAGTAACTAATTCAAAATTTTATTTTAGACACTGAAATTGAGACTAATCGTAGTCAAACCCAAGTGAAGAAAAGAATTGAAAAACGACAGATAGAGATAAAATCTTACTTCATTTTTGGCATAGGTCACGAAAGATGCTCTTCCTTCTTTGCTCATTTCTTGCTCAATTTCCTTATATACATCCATGAGAGCTTCATAACAACTTTTCATGTACTCTGGTAAAAAATCCATGCAGCTAATATCCCACCTAAAATATTCATTAATTATCTCAAAGGTTATTGTTAAGCTAAGAAATATCTCTCTATGTTTTTTTCATACTAGAAAATTGAACATTTGACAATAGATAATATATATCTTTTTACTTCTTATATGAAATATAACTAAGTTTAGTTTTATGTTTCTAATTTTATTTTGTTAATTTTGTTCTATGTAAATTTTAAAAATTTTGAAAATAAATCACGTTATCACTTACTAATAACATAGCAATGGCATGCATCTAATTATAAGTATGTCTAGTTACATGTTATCTAAGAATAGTTATTGATATGGATTTGATAGATGCATGTTAGGTCAATAAGTAATGATAGCGACCATTTTTAAAATTTTAAGATTCATGAAGACCAAAAGTAGTGGAAAAAATAATTTTAAAATAGAATTTAGTCATATTATAAGAGACAACTACATATTTAAGCCTTTTATAATTAATTTAAACATCAAACCTTTTGATTGCTTCCGTGAAAAGTTGTAGCTCTTCTAATGTACCATAAACATCGTATATATCATCAATTATTGATGTCACGGATATCACCTTGGTCATTAACCTTCTACCAAGGGAGTACTGGGGCTCAAAATACACTCCTAATATCCAAAAGTAAGCTTCTACCATCCTATCGCGTGCAAAAGGCAATTTTGTTGCAAAATCCAAATCTTTCCACCACCTAATTCATTATAAAAAAACAGCCAAATTTTATAACCAAGACATGGTGACATGCATGTGGAAGAACTTAATGCTTTTTAATTATTTATTGAGGGATTTGGTTAACAAACTTACTTTGTAATGTCGCTAATTTCCTTGTGATGTTGCCTTTGAAGCATATTAAAATCTAACTTGGCAAGTAATAGCAAATTTTTATCATGAGAAGGGTCGTTTTCGTAAGTAGAAATGTAATGCCTCGCCACTAGCCTTGGCAGGTTCTTGCGAAGTGGCCTCTTTAAGCTATGATTAATTCGTGTGGCAAGAGAGGGACACAATTGGGTGGTCATCATGAGCTCAAGGTGTGAAGAAGTGAATGCAAGAGCTTCTTCCAATATATCTTCTCCGTGAATCCTGAGATGGGCAGCTTCGTACAAGCTCAACATTCCCTCCACATCAGCAACAAGTCTGTCATTGAATTTTCCTTGTTCATTCTTGAACTTCTTATAAACATCTGAGATTTATCAACAACGTTAAATGGATATGTAAATTATGTTTAAGGCATGGACCTATTTCTCATTTTTAGTAGATTTTGTTCGATGATAAAAATCTAACATTAACAAATTAAATGATATACAAGCAAGAGAATTACTGTAAATTTAAGTAGTTAAGAAATTTTTTAGACAAATAGACTATTTAATCTTGAGTTTAGTCTCTCCCTACACGTTTCGACGAAGCAAATACTCAAAATTCTAGTAATTTTTTGTGTGTTCTCTTATTCATTATGTATTCCAACACAATTAAATTTAGAAAGAATTAGATAGGGTGATCGTACCGGACGAAATGTTATATCCTTGTTGCCTCAGTAATCTAAAGACAAGAGCAATAGAATGGAGATCTCCATTGAAGGTTATTATGCCATTTTCTACATAGTTTCTGTGAATATGTTGCAACACATCATCAATCTCGTGTTCAAACTGATAGTATAATCCCAAGCGTTGGATTGAATCAATCAGGTTAGCGTCCTTAGGCGTTAAGGCCCTATCATTTACTAGAACTAACATCTTTCTTACTTTTTCTTTTAATATTCTAATATGCTCCTCCTTTATTTCATCCACTTCCTGCACGTTAAATTGGCTTTTGTCATGTTAGTAACATGATTAAAGTTTCCGAAAATAGAGGGAATGAGTACATATATAATGCATTGAACCTCTTTCACAGATACTAAATAAATGCAAGAGGTGTAAAATTCTCGGGGGATACATACACAAAGTTTAATTGACTGAAAATATACACTACAAAAAATGTCATTTATTAATTTGCTAGTATAATGTTATGGGTCTATATAATAATAAGATACATCATATAAATAGATAAATTTTATTAAATAAATGTTATATTAACAAAAATAATTTCAACATCTAAAATATTTTGCCATTAAAATATGAAATGTTTTTTAATCATTATGATTTTGTCCATTAGATAATGTGCAATAGGATTATGTACATGTCGCTCATGCAAAGCTTAATAACTAATAAGAAGAAAGTATCATTACCGTAGGCTCCAAAGTATATTGAATAAAATGATCTCCCCATATGGTGGGATGAAAATTTGCTGAACATCGAGAGAAATCAAAATATGCATTTTATTTTTTACATATAAATCACACGTTTTTTAATTGTACATAAATGTTAATTAAAGGCTTGTATGCTTTAGCTCCAGAATGAATTTCTCTTATTGTGCACACGTTTCAATATTTAATGTGTTGTGATAAATTTAAAAACACATCTCAATTATGTTAATAATTTAGTATTAATCCTACAAAAATTAATGAAATTAATACATTACAAAAGTTATTTCAGAACAAATACTATTAAATAGATATAAATCTTACATCTTAATGTCCATTTGGTTCAGGAGTTTGGTATAATTTATTTTGATATTAATAATTTTAAATTACTAAATATAATTAAAGTATTGATCTAAACTAATTTAAATTATATATTTTGTACTAAAATGCTTAGTTTTATTAAACTATATGAAAATAATTTTTTTATTTTAAGTAAACAGACACTTAAATGAACATGTATCTACCGAGGGTATTGAATTTTTCTTGGTTAATCTCATGTTTTATTAAAAACATATTAAATAATATAAATATTTAAATTTGAGATAGGGATATGCACGTACCATAAGGGCAGGAACATGGTCAAGGAAATAATCCCCCCAAATGGTAGGGTGAAAATTTGCACAACGGCGAGTGTTTTCTGAGGTGGGTTTTGCATTCTGCACCAAAATCGGAAGTGATGGTGTGGCTGCAACATTTGACATTGTTTGTTTTAAAGAATGACGATTTGGTTGATCCAATATTGCAGCTTCGCGTTGAGATGTGTGGGCACGCTACTTATCGACTCCTCAATTTACAAGTAACAACAGAAGTTAAAATGGATGTGAATCATGAGCTTATTTAATGTGGATGTGCTTCCATCTCTCGATTTCAACCCATGGCCACACATTTGAGAAGAATTATTTGTCATACGAGACAAACGATAATGTTTCCCAGACAGAGAGAGAGAGAGAGAGAGTTTGTGAGGCTTGATGGCGAGTTTTCAGATTGTTTAACAATATTTTTAGGTATTCTTTATTTTCTTTCAATTTTTTCAGGTAACAATGCTTGATGTTGATTAATTTGTTTGATCATTTTATTTGTATGATCAACAATTTATAATTTTTATTACAATATTATTTCAATAAAGAAATTATTTTGTTATATTTTACAATATTTTGCGATTATTACAACACTATTATATTTAATATGTTTAATTAGTCTAAATAGAATTTTGAAAAAAAAAAGTTTCACATAGTTTAATTAGATTACTTTATGGTGATTTTGAAAAAAGAAAAAGAAACTTTCAGAATCTTAAAAGAAGAGGAATCCATAGAATGACTTTAGCTAGCAAAATTTTCAAGGTCATATTGCCCACATCCTCATTCTAGTAGTTCAGAAGATTGGAATAATGCATCAATTTAAGGTCTTAAACGATGTTAATTTCTAACATGGCAAGTTAATATAACTATACTCTTTTTTCGTTAATCATATTTTTTTCTTGGGATTTTCCAAAGAAAAATAAAATCGAATAAGACATCATTATTAGTATGAATTAGCAATTGATTCCATTGATTTCTTCTAATTAATAAGGTTTGAAAAACGCATATCCAATAAAACTCCAAGGAAAGTGTAATAAGTATTTATTTAAAATGGGTATTCACAACATATTTTATCCTAATTTAATTGGAATTTCATAATCAAGAAACTTTTACATGATTTATAATTTGTTTTGGGAAATTTCATCCAATTAGAATTTGATTTGGTTTTAACTACCTCACATTTGTTCCGAAGAAACTCCAACTTGTGTCATAGGAAACCACACTTTTGATCATTTGTGTTTTTATTATTACTTTTACAACAAAGTGAACATATATGGCAATATTGTGTATTAAGGCAGTTCAAAAGGGAAAACCCTTATTCTCATACTGGCCATGGATTCAAGAGGAGGGCTTCAACGTCATCTTTTGTTGATCCTTTGGAGTTGGTGTAGCAATCTCCATCTTTATAAAGAACATCAATCACACGAGATAAATTGAGGACTCGCATGAGGAGAGGCTTTGGCACTTCAGTAGGGTCAAGGCATTCCTCGTTGATATCCTTCCAAGCACTTGTCACTTGTCTATTAAATTCATCATTGGCTTCTTGCTTTGTGACACTATGTTGCTTCATGTAGCACTCAAGGGCCGAAGCAACATGCCCTCTCTTCTGCTCAAACTAATCCAAATGAAGACATATATAATATCAAATATGTAGTATAGAATACACTCTAGAGCCGAAGCAACATGCCCTCTCTTCTGCTCAAACTAATCCAAATGAAGACATATATAATATCAAATATGTAGTAGAGAATATAAATTAATGTTTGAGGAAATCGATTCATTTACTTGATTACCTCATTGGAAACTATATCATCCATGAGTCTGCAAATAATTGTTGAAGCCTTCACAATTTTAGGGTAATTAATTAACCATTGGAAGGCCTTTTCTGTAGCAATACTACCCATCCCAAGGAAGGTTGTTGCTATGAGCATACGGTAAGCTGAAGTCACTAGTGCAACATCCATGTATTCTTCCATTGTTGGTATATAATTGCTATTAAACCATATTGCCTCAGCCAAGTAGGCCTCGACCAATCTTTTCATCTAGTATGGTCACCACAATAATTTACAAGATTAAATGAAGCTAAAGACATTTGGAGACAAACACTTGTACTATAACATTACAAGAAAACTGTCTAATAACAACTAAAAAAATCAATCACTAAAACAAAGAAATCAAACTCTAAACACAATGAGGACTAAGTGTGGGATTGATTTTGTTGAATTGCTAATCGCTTAGTCGCTGATTATTAGCAATCAATTAGTGATTGAAATATTTAAGGACTAAATTTTGTGACTGATTTTAGTAACTAATTCAAAATTTTATTTTAGACACTGAAATTGAGACTAATCGTAGTCAAACCCAAGTGAAGAAAAGAATTGAAAAACGACAGATAGAGATAAAATCTTACTTCATTTTTGGCATAGGTCACGAAAGATGCTCTTCCTTCTTTGCTCATTTCTTGCTCAATTTCCTTATATACATCCATGAGAGCTTCATAACAACTTTTCATGTACTCTGGTAAAAAATCCATGCAGCTAATATCCCACCTAAAATATTCATTAATTATCTCAAAGGTTATTGTTAAGCTAAGAAATATCTCTCTATGTTTTTTTCATACTAGAAAATTGAACATTTGACAATAGATAATATATATCTTTTTACTTCTTATATGAAATATAACTAAGTTTAGTTTTATGTTTCTAATTTTATTTTGTTAATTTTGTTCTATGTAAATTTTAAAAATTTTGAAAATAAATCACGTTATCACTTACTAATAACATAGCAATGGCATGCATCTAATTATAAGTATGTCTAGTTACATGTTATCTAAGAATAGTTATTGATATGGATTTGATAGATGCATGTTAGGTCAATAAGTAATGATAGCGACCATTTTTAAAATTTTAAGATTCATGAAGACCAAAAGTAGTGGAAAAAATAATTTTAAAATAGAATTTAGTCATATTATAAGAGACAACTACATATTTAAGCCTTTTATAATTAATTTAAACATCAAACCTTTTGATTGCTTCCGTGAAAAGTTGTAGCTCTTCTAATGTACCATAAACATCGTATATATCATCAATTATTGATGTCACGGATATCACCTTGGTCATTAACCTTCTACCAAGGGAGTACTGGGGCTCAAAATACACTCCTAATATCCAAAAGTAAGCTTCTACCATCCTATCGCGTGCAAAAGGCAATTTTGTTGCAAAATCCAAATCTTTCCACCACCTAATTCATTATAAAAAAACAGCCAAATTTTATAACCAAGACATGGTGACATGCATGTGGAAGAACTTAATGCTTTTTAATTATTTATTGAGGGATTTGGTTAACAAACTTACTTTGTAATGTCGCTAATTTCCTTGTGATGTTGCCTTTGAAGCATATTAAAATCTAACTTGGCAAGTAATAGCAAATTTTTATCATGAGAAGGGTCGTTTTCGTAAGTAGAAATGTAATGCCTCGCCACTAGCCTTGGCAGGTTCTTGCGAAGTGGCCTCTTTAAGCTATGATTAATTCGTGTGGCAAGAGAGGGACACAATTGGGTGGTCATCATGAGCTCAAGGTGTGAAGAAGTGAATGCAAGAGCTTCTTCCAATATATCTTCTCCGTGAATCCTGAGATGGGCAGCTTCGTACAAGCTCAACATTCCCTCCACATCAGCAACAAGTCTGTCATTGAATTTTCCTTGTTCATTCTTGAACTTCTTATAAACATCTGAGATTTATCAACAACGTTAAATGGATATGTAAATTATGTTTAAGGCATGGACCTATTTCTCATTTTTAGTAGATTTTGTTCGATGATAAAAATCTAACATTAACAAATTAAATGATATACAAGCAAGAGAATTACTGTAAATTTAAGTAGTTAAGAAATTTTTTAGACAAATAGACTATTTAATCTTGAGTTTAGTCTCTCCCTACACGTTTCGACGAAGCAAATACTCAAAATTCTAGTAATTTTTTGTGTGTTCTCTTATTCATTATGTATTCCAACACAATTAAATTTAGAAAGAATTAGATAGGGTGATCGTACCGGACGAAATGTTATATCCTTGTTGCCTCAGTAATCTAAAGACAAGAGCAATAGAATGGAGATCTCCATTGAAGGTTATTATGCCATTTTCTACATAGTTTCTGTGAATATGTTGCAACACATCATCAATCTCGTGTTCAAACTGATAGTATAATCCCAAGCGTTGGATTGAATCAATCAGGTTAGCGTCCTTAGGCGTTAAGGCCCTATCATTTACTAGAACTAACATCTTTCTTACTTTTTCTTTTAATATTCTAATATGCTCCTCCTTTATTTCATCCACTTCCTGCACGTTAAATTGGCTTTTGTCATGTTAGTAACATGATTAAAGTTTCCGAAAATAGAGGGAATGAGTACATATATAATGCATTGAACCTCTTTCACAGATACTAAATAAATGCAAGAGGTGTAAAATTCTCGGGGGATACATACACAAAGTTTAATTGACTGAAAATATACACTACAAAAAATGTCATTTATTAATTTGCTAGTATAATGTTATGGGTCTATATAATAATAAGATACATCATATAAATAGATAAATTTTATTAAATAAATGTTATATTAACAAAAATAATTTCAACATCTAAAATATTTTGCCATTAAAATATGAAATGTTTTTTAATCATTATGATTTTGTCCATTAGATAATGTGCAATAGGATTATGTACATGTCGCTCATGCAAAGCTTAATAACTAATAAGAAGAAAGTATCATTACCGTAGGCTCCAAAGTATATTGAATAAAATGATCTCCCCATATGGTGGGATGAAAATTTGCTGAACATCGAGAGAAATCAAAATATGCATTTTATTTTTTACATATAAATCACACGTTTTTTAATTGTACATAAATGTTAATTAAAGGCTTGTATGCTTTAGCTCCAGAATGAATTTCTCTTATTGTGCACACGTTTCAATATTTAATGTGTTGTGATAAATTTAAAAACACATCTCAATTATGTTAATAATTTAGTATTAATCCTACAAAAATTAATGAAATTAATACATTACAAAAGTTATTTCAGAACAAATACTATTAAATAGATATAAATCTTACATCTTAATGTCCATTTGGTTCAGGAGTTTGGTATAATTTATTTTGATATTAATAATTTTAAATTACTAAATATAATTAAAGTATTGATCTAAACTAATTTAAATTATATATTTTGTACTAAAATGCTTAGTTTTATTAAACTATATGAAAATAATTTTTTTATTTTAAGTAAACAGACACTTAAATGAACATGTATCTACCGAGGGTATTGAATTTTTCTTGGTTAATCTCATGTTTTATTAAAAACATATTAAATAATATAAATATTTAAATTTGAGATAGGGATATGCACGTACCATAAGGGCAGGAACATGGTCAAGGAAATAATCCCCCCAAATGGTAGGGTGAAAATTTGCACAACGGCGAGTGTTTTCTGAGGTGGGTTTTGCATTCTGCACCAAAATCGGAAGTGATGGTGTGGCTGCAACATTTGACATTGTTTGTTTTAAAGAATGACGATTTGGTTGATCCAATATTGCAGCTTCGCGTTGAGATGTGTGGGCACGCTACTTATCGACTCCTCAATTTACAAGTAACAACAGAAGTTAAAATGGATGTGAATCATGAGCTTATTTAATGTGGATGTGCTTCCATCTCTCGATTTCAACCCATGGCCACACATTTGAGAAGAATTATTTGTCATACGAGACAAACGATAATGTTTCCCAGACAGAGAGAGAGAGAGAGAGAGTTTGTGAGGCTTGATGGCGAGTTTTCAGATTGTTTAACAATATTTTTAGGTATTCTTTATTTTCTTTCAATTTTTTCAGGTAACAATGCTTGATGTTGATTAATTTGTTTGATCATTTTATTTGTATGATCAACAATTTATAATTTTTATTACAATATTATTTCAATAAAGAAATTATTTTGTTATATTTTACAATATTTTGCGATTATTACAACACTATTATATTTAATATGTTTAATTAGTCTAAATAGAATTTTGAAAAAAAAAAGTTTCACATAGTTTAATTAGATTACTTTATGGTGATTTTGAAAAAAGAAAAAGAAACTTTCAGAATCTTAAAAGAAGAGGAATCCATAGAATGACTTTAGCTAGCAAAATTTTCAAGGTCATATTGCCCACATCCTCATTCTAGTAGTTCAGAAGATTGGAATAATGCATCAATTTAAGGTCTTAAACGATGTTAATTTCTAACATGGCAAGTTAATATAACTATACTCTTTTTTCGTTAATCATATTTTTTTCTTGGGATTTTCCAAAGAAAAATAAAATCGAATAAGACATCATTATTAGTATGAATTAGCAATTGATTCCATTGATTTCTTCTAATTAATAAGGTTTGAAAAACGCATATCCAATAAAACTCCAAGGAAAGTGTAATAAGTATTTATTTAAAATGGGTATTCACAACATATTTTATCCTAATTTAATTGGAATTTCATAATCAAGAAACTTTTACATGATTTATAATTTGTTTTGGGAAATTTCATCCAATTAGAATTTTATTTGGTTTTAACTACCTCACATTTGTTCCGAAGAAACTCCAACTTGTGTCATAGGAAACCACACTTTTGATCATTTGTGTTTTTATTATTACTTTTACAACAAAGTGAACATATATGGCAATATTGTGTATTAAGGCAGTTCAAAAAGGAAAACCCTTATTCTCATACTGGCCATGGATTCAAGAGGAGGGCTTCAACGTCATCTTTTGTTGATCCTTTGGAGTTGGTGTAGCAATCTCCATCTTTATAAAGAACATCAATCACACGAGATAAATTGAGGACTCGCATGAGGAGAGGCTTTGGCACTTCAGTAGGGTCAAGGCATTCCTCGTTGATATCCTTCCAAGCACTTGTCACTTGTCTATTAAATTCATCATTGGCTTCTTGCTTTGTGACACTATGTTGCTTCATGTAGCACTCAAGGGCCGAAGCAACATGCCCTCTCTTCTGCTCAAACTAATCCAAATGAAGACATATATAATATCAAATATGTAGTATAGAATACACTCTAGAGCCGAAGCAACATGCCCTCTCTTCTGCTCAAACTAATCCAAATGAAGACATATATAATATCAAATATGTAGTAGAGAATATAAATTAATGTTTGAGGAAATCGATTCATTTACTTGATTACCTCATTGGAAACTATATCATCCATGAGTCTGCAAATAATTGTTGAAGCCTTCACAATTTTAGGGTAATTAATTAACCATTGGAAGGCCTTTTCTGTAGCAATACTACCCATCCCAAGGAAGGTTGTTGCTATGAGCATACGGTAAGCTGAAGTCACTAGTGCAACATCCATGTATTCTTCCATTGTTGGTATATAATTGCTATTAAACCATATTGCCTCAGCCAAGTAGGCCTCGACCAATCTTTTCATCTAGTATGGTCACCACAATAATTTACAAGATTAAATGAAGCTAAAGACATTTGGAGACAAACACTTGTACTATAACATTACAAGAAAACTGTCTAATAACAACTAAAAAAATCAATCACTAAAACAAAGAAATCAAACTCTAAACACAATGAGGACTAAGTGTGGGATTGATTTTGTTGAATTGCTAATCGCTTAGTCGCTGATTATTAGCAATCAATTAGTGATTGAAATATTTAAGGACTAAATTTTGTGACTGATTTTAGTAACTAATTCAAAATTTTATTTTAGACACTGAAATTGAGACTAATCGTAGTCAAACCCAAGTGAAGAAAAGAATTGAAAAACGACAGATAGAGATAAAATCTTACTTCATTTTTGGCATAGGTCACGAAAGATGCTCTTCCTTCTTTGCTCATTTCTTGCTCAATTTCCTTATATACATCCATGAGAGCTTCATAACAACTTTTCATGTACTCTGGTAAAAAATCCATGCAGCTAATATCCCACCTAAAATATTCATTAATTATCTCAAAGGTTATTGTTAAGCTAAGAAATATCTCTCTATGTTTTTTTCATACTAGAAAATTGAACATTTGACAATAGATAATATATATCTTTTTACTTCTTATATGAAATATAACTAAGTTTAGTTTTATGTTTCTAATTTTATTTTGTTAATTTTGTTCTATGTAAATTTTAAAAATTTTGAAAATAAATCACGTTATCACTTACTAATAACATAGCAATGGCATGCATCTAATTATAAGTATGTCTAGTTACATGTTATCTAAGAATAGTTATTGATATGGATTTGATAGATGCATGTTAGGTCAATAAGTAATGATAGCGACCATTTTTAAAATTTTAAGATTCATGAAGACCAAAAGTAGTGGAAAAAATAATTTTAAAATAGAATTTAGTCATATTATAAGAGACAACTACATATTTAAGCCTTTTATAATTAATTTAAACATCAAACCTTTTGATTGCTTCCGTGAAAAGTTGTAGCTCTTCTAATGTACCATAAACATCGTATATATCATCAATTATTGATGTCACGGATATCACCTTGGTCATTAACCTTCTACCAAGGGAGTACTGGGGCTCAAAATACACTCCTAATATCCAAAAGTAAGCTTCTACCATCCTATCGCGTGCAAAAGGCAATTTTGTTGCAAAATCCAAATCTTTCCACCACCTAATTCATTATAAAAAAACAGCCAAATTTTATAACCAAGACATGGTGACATGCATGTGGAAGAACTTAATGCTTTTTAATTATTTATTGAGGGATTTGGTTAACAAACTTACTTTGTAATGTCGCTAATTTCCTTGTGATGTTGCCTTTGAAGCATATTAAAATCTAACTTGGCAAGTAATAGCAAATTTTTATCATGAGAAGGGTCGTTTTCGTAAGTAGAAATGTAATGCCTCGCCACTAGCCTTGGCAGGTTCTTGCGAAGTGGCCTCTTTAAGCTATGATTAATTCGTGTGGCAAGAGAGGGACACAATTGGGTGGTCATCATGAGCTCAAGGTGTGAAGAAGTGAATGCAAGAGCTTCTTCCAATATATCTTCTCCGTGAATCCTGAGATGGGCAGCTTCGTACAAGCTCAACATTCCCTCCACATCAGCAACAAGTCTGTCATTGAATTTTCCTTGTTCATTCTTGAACTTCTTATAAACATCTGAGATTTATCAACAACGTTAAATGGATATGTAAATTATGTTTAAGGCATGGACCTATTTCTCATTTTTAGTAGATTTTGTTCGATGATAAAAATCTAACATTAACAAATTAAATGATATACAAGCAAGAGAATTACTGTAAATTTAAGTAGTTAAGAAATTTTTTAGACAAATAGACTATTTAATCTTGAGTTTAGTCTCTCCCTACACGTTTCGACGAAGCAAATACTCAAAATTCTAGTAATTTTTTGTGTGTTCTCTTATTCATTATGTATTCCAACACAATTAAATTTAGAAAGAATTAGATAGGGTGATCGTACCGGACGAAATGTTATATCCTTGTTGCCTCAGTAATCTAAAGACAAGAGCAATAGAATGGAGATCTCCATTGAAGGTTATTATGCCATTTTCTACATAGTTTCTGTGAATATGTTGCAACACATCATCAATCTCGTGTTCAAACTGATAGTATAATCCCAAGCGTTGGATTGAATCAATCAGGTTAGCGTCCTTAGGCGTTAAGGCCCTATCATTTACTAGAACTAACATCTTTCTTACTTTTTCTTTTAATATTCTAATATGCTCCTCCTTTATTTCATCCACTTCCTGCACGTTAAATTGGCTTTTGTCATGTTAGTAACATGATTAAAGTTTCCGAAAATAGAGGGAATGAGTACATATATAATGCATTGAACCTCTTTCACAGATACTAAATAAATGCAAGAGGTGTAAAATTCTCGGGGGATACATACACAAAGTTTAATTGACTGAAAATATACACTACAAAAAATGTCATTTATTAATTTGCTAGTATAATGTTATGGGTCTATATAATAATAAGATACATCATATAAATAGATAAATTTTATTAAATAAATGTTATATTAACAAAAATAATTTCAACATCTAAAATATTTTGCCATTAAAATATGAAATGTTTTTTAATCATTATGATTTTGTCCATTAGATAATGTGCAATAGGATTATGTACATGTCGCTCATGCAAAGCTTAATAACTAATAAGAAGAAAGTATCATTACCGTAGGCTCCAAAGTATATTGAATAAAATGATCTCCCCATATGGTGGGATGAAAATTTGCTGAACATCGAGAGAAATCAAAATATGCATTTTATTTTTTACATATAAATCACACGTTTTTTAATTGTACATAAATGTTAATTAAAGGCTTGTATGCTTTAGCTCCAGAATGAATTTCTCTTATTGTGCACACGTTTCAATATTTAATGTGTTGTGATAAATTTAAAAACACATCTCAATTATGTTAATAATTTAGTATTAATCCTACAAAAATTAATGAAATTAATACATTACAAAAGTTATTTCAGAACAAATACTATTAAATAGATATAAATCTTACATCTTAATGTCCATTTGGTTCAGGAGTTTGGTATAATTTATTTTGATATTAATAATTTTAAATTACTAAATATAATTAAAGTATTGATCTAAACTAATTTAAATTATATATTTTGTACTAAAATGCTTAGTTTTATTAAACTATATGAAAATAATTTTTTTATTTTAAGTAAACAGACACTTAAATGAACATGTATCTACCGAGGGTATTGAATTTTTCTTGGTTAATCTCATGTTTTATTAAAAACATATTAAATAATATAAATATTTAAATTTGAGATAGGGATATGCACGTACCATAAGGGCAGGAACATGGTC